TCACATATACTTCTTAGCTCAGTTTAGACAAGTTCCTTCTTTATATTTTCTTCATGTTTAGTCTCCAAATGAGGAACTAAACTCTTCCATCTTGGTTTTGCTACTTTGAAGCTTAATGAATTTGTAAGTTGTGAGTTATTTTCTTTAATCTTCTTCCTTGAATATTAATTATTTCCTATTCATATTCCATATTAATATTTTGAGCATTACTTAAAGGATCAACTAATTTTGTTTCATATATTAATTATTACTAGAATCGATCGATTAATACGCTTGTTATTAATTCGGTTCTTTCAACGGCAGTAAAACTTGGATTATTAATGCATGCGTCTCATAGTTAATAATCTAAGGCGAATTAATTATATTGATTAAACCAATAAACTGCTTGTGTTGAGGTTATCAATCTCAATCGTTTCATCTAAAGTTTATTGTTACTATCGGGTTAATATACGGCGCGTGTTCTATATTGACTGAGTAGTAAGTTTTATTAAGGAACGCGTCTCGTTATTAATAACTACCCTCGATGAACTGGATATACTTCTCAATTGAGTATTCGAGAGGAAGATAGTTAAAGATATAACCGGGATCGACGAACATTTCATTAAGTGGATAAAAGCAAAACCAAATCCTCATCTCTATTAATTAAACTCATATAAGTCGTTCATCTTAGTGTTAATTAAATTGAATCAAATCAAACTTAAAACCCCCTTTGTTACTATTTATATAAAAGAAAAGTATTCCTTTCCCTGTGGATACGAACCTTACTTCAATATACTACGTATATTTGTTGTATTGTATTTATTTTGAGTGCACCTCACGACAAGTGCACGTCAGGGAACGTGGGACACCTCCTCAATGTAAAGGGATTGGGCCCATTTCTTCCTCTGGGTGGCCGAGTCCCACCCAGTGTTGCCCCCCACAAAGAGGTGGATGTGGTTCTTCTCGGAGGGGGCTCTTCAAAGTCTTCATCGTCATCGTTGAGTCTGCCGATCTCACGCTTCTTCGTAGAGGGTTCGCCCCCATGTTTGCCGGTGTTTACCCACATATTTTTGTGTGGGTCACCTTTAACAAACTGGGAGAGTTCCCCCTGACGAATCAGCTTCTCAACGGCTCTCTTCAACGTGACGCAGTCGTCTGTGTTGTGGGAGGTGTTCCTGTGGTAACGGCAGTAGGTACCGCCCTGATGGACGACGTAGATTTCCTTCGCCGACCGAGGATCTCGTTCAATGAGATCATGTTCCTCGGCATAGTCGAGGATGGAGCTGACCGAATGAGTGAGTGGGGTCTTCGGCCTTTCCATCCTCGGCCGCCATATGCGGTCCTTGTTCTTTCCGCCAGACCCATGGCGGCTTTGTCCTCCCTGACCTCGGTCCCCAGCCGAGGGTGCACCTGGAGCTGGCACAACATTTGTCTTCTTGGAGGGGTTCCCTCCGTCCTTCTTGTGGCTATGGAGCTCGTCGGCGTCAGCGTATAAGTTCCCTCGCTGGAGCGCCTTCATATAGGACCTTGGAGGGTCAGTGATGAGACTCCTTGCATATGGGGTGCTGCGGAGGGCACCCTGAAAGAGGACAAGGAGGGTGCGCTCATCAGCCCCCTCGACCTCATCGGTCTCCCTCATCCATCGGTCTATGAATGACCGAAGTGACTCATCATGCTGCTGCTTGACGGAGAGAAGATGGGTGAAATACTTCTTCGCGCGCTTCCTCCCGGCAAAGTGAGTGAGAAAGCGCTGGGCAAGATCCTGCCATGAATCTATGCTTCCTTCGTGGAGTGCATTGAACCACTCGTACGCCGGCCCTTCCAGAGTGGAAAGGAACCAACGGAAGAGGTATTCGTCCGATGCGTTTACCATCAGCATGTTGTTCTGATAGCGGCTGAAGTGCTCCTGAGGGTCAGAGCGGCTGTCATAGGGCTTGATGGCGTTTCCCCTGTACTTCTCGGGAATAGGGGCTGAGAGTACCCTGTCGGTGAATGGAGTCCTCGTCTTGACCTGGATGATGGGGTTTCCTCGTCCTTCAGCCAACTCCCTCTCGAGGACGCTGACTTTGTGTAGAAGGGCGTTGAAGCCGGGATCCCTGGATGAGTTGTCCACGGGGGTGGCAGCCAGCTGTTTGGCCTCCATCTGAGCGAGCCTTCGCTCGAGTTGGGCGATCACCTTGTCCCTGGGGTCCTTGGCGTCATGGTGGCGCCCTATGTCTGCAAGCGGGCTGCATGAGCCGTGTTGATTTGGTGGCGCGTGTCACTCTCATGCAGTTTTCCCTTGCCTTTGTCCAGGTGGGGCCGATCCGCTGTCCGAGATACAGACCCCAAGCTTTCCCTTGGTGAGCCAGGCTCACGCTCACGAATCCGTCCCGCCATCCTCTCCGAAACAGGCCGACAGCACGTGTCACCTAGCCTATTAAAGGTTGAGGCTTTTCCATGCACTGGGGTCGGTCCAGCTTGAAATGGGGAAGCAGGGTGGGAGTGGGACGACGTCGTGTCCTGGGCATCACCCCTTCGTCGTTTCCAAGCTTGATGGCCAACGGTTGGGGCTGAGGAGGCGGTGTCGTGTTCTCCCCAGTCCTTGACATGAGTGCGCTAAGGACGGTGGGGTTCTGGGCCAAGCTGGCGATGATAGCCGAGAGTGCGGCTTGGAGCTGGGGGTCGACGGCAGGAGAAGCCGGTTGCCCTGAGGCATTGTCGCCTTTGTCTAGGCGCTTATTCTCCAGGGCGATGCGGGCATCAGGGGCGCCGCCGTTGAGCTGATGGCGGAGGTCATTTGTGAGGTCGATGGCCTCCTGAAAAACATCTCCGCCCGCGGCCTTGTCGACCGTAGCGTCCTCCTCGTGTTCCCTGTCCTCTTGGGCCTCAGGGATTGTTTTGCCGAGGAGGTTACAGTTGGACTTAGTTCTTCCCATGATCAGTTAGTTGTGCTTGGTAGCGACGAAGGAGGCTAACTTGATTGTTCTAGCTCTCAATGAAAGCACCAAATGATGGAGTATTAGCACCTAGAGAGAAGTGAGAGCTAGAGAGAGAAGTGCAATAATTCCTTGCAATAAATGATTTTTGAACCCCTACAACTACCCCCAAGGGGGGTATTTATAGAGGAAATTAGGACTGGCCTCCTAAGTCTTGGATTTGGGTGGCCCATTTACAATCGGGCCACTATTGGGCTGAGTACAAAATATGTAATAATAATTAAGTGCGAAATCTGGTTCTGGGAGCCCTTTGTGGCCGATGAAGCCATGGCCGACGAAGACATGTTATGTGAGTCATCCGGTTCTCCTGACTTCTGGACCATGTTATGAGTTGATATCTTTCTGGCCGATGGTGGGTCATCTGGCCGACGGAGGCTCCACTGGGTGACAGCTATGCCTCTTATTCTTCTGAGTATGTGGGTCCTGGGGTCCAGACCCAAATACTCCATCAGTGTAAATGACAGTTTCATGAGCTTTGGTGAATTATTGTGCCTCAAGGACCGATGCCTAGTATTGTAGTCTGGTTTTTAATGCATTAGTATGTATCTACTCCATATTTAGTTAGCTGTGTTTTAGTTTGATGTTTTACTTTTGTGTGTTGTAATTCTAATTTGTTTAATACTGCGTATAAAATAATTCTATTTACCATTATTTTATTTACACTTTTTGTTTGACACAAATACACAGTTATTAATGGTTCGTTCAATTAAAAAACTTATCTTGGAGCGGACTCGACTAGTGGACTTTGGTTAGAAATAAATAAATTATCCGCAATAGCCCGTTTGGTAACCATGTTTTTGGATTATCCAGCCTTATTATCCATTTTTATCATCAAGAGAAGTTGTCTAGAGTACTATCGCCTTAATGATTTGGTATTTGTTAAGTACAATAGGGCTTTGAGATATCGTTTGAAATGTGTGAATCTATAGATCCTATTTGATTGGAATACATAGACATGACAAATGAATGGTTGACTGGTGCAGATGATGCAAATGGAGAGTTGATCTTTGATGATGGAGATAATTTGACCTGAGGAGATGTTGTGAATTTTTTCGGGTGTACATGATACGTCATAGACACAATTCTAAAGGGAAAGATAAAGTCGAAAGTTCAAGGGGAAAGAAAAAACCTCAATCTGTAGACTTGTTGATCAAGATGAGGACAAATTAAGACGAGGAAGAAGTTGGACTCCGTGATGATGAATTGATGATAGTGAGGACTTTGACACTTTAGTTATGGAAGATGAAGAAGGTCACTTTGATGAGGAGGAGGAAGAAGTGATGAAGTGATGAAGTGATGAAGTGATGTTTTTATCTTTATGCCGCACTTGTATTACTCTTATGACTTTTATGATTAGTTATGTGCTTGTGCAAAATTGTGTGATGAATGTTTTCTCACTTTATGCCGCACTAGTATTGTTCTTAATGACTTTTATGACTATTTATGCATTTTTGGCATAATAATACATTATATATTTGATTTTTTATTTTTATAAGCATTGCTTTTTGTGAGAAAGCTACGCTTCACTTGGCGCTTTCGCTTTTTAGCGAAGTCTAAATCTGATGCTTTTGGCGCTTTTTTATATAAAAATGTTTGCCGTAAGAGAGACAAAAGAAAATTGACTTGAGGGGCAGGCAAAAAGGAGCGAAGAACAAAAAAAAAGAATAAATGCGATATTTAATTTTTCATTTTTAAACAATCCAACTATCTTCCCACACCGGAAATCTAAGATGCTTGATAACTTTATAAATTAATACTACAAACAATCATAAACAATAAAATGATTAACTTAAATGGAGTATCAGGTGGTAATAATACTTAAATTTAATATTACAATCTAATTCGATGATTTCCTGCTCGAGTTGTCTCATCTTAAATTATTCAAAATATTCTGAATAATTTGATATAAAGCGACTCGAGCAGGAAATCACCAAAATAAGATTGTAGTATTAAATTGTACTTCCACTCTTCATTTAAATTTACTTTTATCTACAAGAAATCATACATTTTGTGACAAAAAACGGAACACAATGGGGAGATCTATTCAGATATTGAGATAATTAAACTTGTTATTGATCGTATGGATGGAAACCATTGCTATCATGATGTAAGGGAATTCTCAATTTCCGAAGCTTTAGTACACGCTGTTTAGTATATATTCTAGCTGTATGGTTAATACTTAGGGCACATCTCATACAACTTCCTCAATTGATTCTTCTCATATTTGTGTTGCGTTAGACATCCGTGAAGCAAATAAGAAAGTTGCTGAAGAGCTAATGGGACTTGAACCTGAAGACGCCCTAAGGAATCCAAGATAGAAGACAAGTTCGAGACGCCTTGGGAGAATGTCAAAATCATTGTTCCATATCAAGAGGATAGGAGACCGAGGATTTGGAGAAATGAAAAGAGTATCAAGAAGATTGACAAGCTGGAAATGAGTGGTTTGCAACATCTTGAAGGAACTGCTGCTTCCGGTCACATATGGATGCTGAGAAATATGTCTGTAGATCAGAATGATCCTTATGGACATCGTGAGCGACTGAAGAAACATTCTGATTCTCTATTCATTGGAATCCACTCAGTGGAAATTCATAGCTGTGGATTGGTGAAAAATCTTGTGATCGAGTTTGAGCGATAAAAAGGAGTTGTACAAAGAGTTTCAGAAGCTGATCTCTACCATGTTGTTCCTGCCGATCTTATACAGCTTTTCTATGAATACAGGAACATGAGATTCAGCGAAGTTCCTCAAAATGAAAAAGAACTAGGCCTCAATGTCATCAAGAGATTTATGATGCGACAAGTCAAGTATTATTCTCTATTTGATTTACAAATGGGCATTGAGAGCAACTACAAAAAAGTGAATCTTTATGCTCGAAGAAATAGAGCTCCGTGGATCGAGAACCTAGATGAAGGCACCATCACAACACATTCGGAGACCGGACTCATTTATAGAGATTACAAAGGTGTGAAGCGTATCTTGCTCCTGGAAGAAATTCATAAGTACTGTGATGGAATGCTCAGAATCATAGAAGAACATCTGGAAGAATCCGCGCTGAAATTGAAGAATTCTGAGAATCCAGATGACCTCATCTAGATTGCTCTCATTGGAGATTTTGCCGAACCCATAGGAGTTAGACTTGATTTCAGAAGAACTTTCAGACATTATGAAGTCATCCTAGGCTACCGGAAGTCATTGTACAAGACTCAAAAATGACTCGTGTTTCATCGACGATTGAACACAAAGGGGGAGAATGTTAGAATATTATTTATTGTGTTCAATTTATTTGTAATTTATTTAATGAATCTTTGTAATTAATTAGATTAATTGACAGAGAATTAGGCCCAATTATAAGTGCTCTAATAAGCCCACACGCCTAAGCTGCTTCCAAATTGTAATAGGGCTGGTCGAGTCTCTCACCTATAAATACAGACTGAGATGGCTCGAAAAAGCTCTAAGTCTCTACACATTCTCTTTCCGCATATTATTCTCGTAGAGCACGTAGACTAGAAATTCTCTCTCTCTAATACGTTCGAATACCGTGTATTGTTCTTCACTGAATCATCATTATGGATTCACAGTATATGTTGATGCTGAATTTCTCTTCTACCGTTTAAATTCTTTGTATTATTCGACTGTTAAATTTGGACATAATTCATACAGATGATAGTGAGGACTTTAATACTTTAGTTATGGAAGATGAAGAAGGTCACTTTGATGAGGAGGAGGAAGAAGTGATGAAGTGATGAAGATTCTTAGAACCGTTTAAAATGAAACTATGACATTGTGCGATGGATGTTTTTATCTTTATGTCGCGCTTGTATTACTCTTATGACTTTTATGATTAGTTATGTGCTTGTGCAAAATTGTGTGATGAATGTTTTCTCACTTTATGCCGCACTAGTGTTGTTCTTAATGACTTTTATGACTATTTATGCATTTTTGGCATAACAATACATTATATATTTGATCTTTTGTTTTTATAAGCATCGCTTTTTTGTGAGAAAGCTACGCTTCACTTGGCGCTTTCGCTTTTTAGCAAAGTCTAAATCCGATGCTTTTGGCGCTTTTTTATTTAAAAAAGTTTGCCGTAAGAGAGACAAAAGAAGATTGACTAATGAAGTGAGATGGAGAAAAAGAGATGAATGTGAGGCCAGTGAGGGGCAAGCAAAAAGGAGCAAAGAATAGAAAAAAGAATAAATGCGATGTATAGTTTTTCGTTTTTCAACAACCCAACTATCTTCCCACACCGGAAATCTAAGATGCTTGATAACTTTATAAATTAATAATACATACAATTTTAAACAATAAAATGATTAACTTGAATGGAGTATCAGGTGGTAATAATACTTAAATTTAATATTACAATCTAATTCGATGATTTCCTGCTCCAGTTGCCTCATCTTAAATTATTCAAAATATTCTGAATAATTTGATATAAAGCAACTCGAGCAGGAAATCACCAAAATAAGATTGTAGTACTAAATTGTACTTCCACTCTTCATTTACGTTTACTTTTGTATACTTAACATATGATAAAATGTAAACACCACAAGAAATCATAAATTTTGTGAAAAAAAGGAACACAATGGGGAGGTCGATTTATTCAGATATTGAGATAATTAAACTTATATTTTGATCGTATAGATGGAAACCATTGCTATCATGATGTTAGGGAACTCTCAATTTCCGATGCTTTAGTACACGCTGTTTAGTATATATTCTAGGTGTATGGTTGATACTTGGGGCACATCTCATACAACTTCCTCAATTGATTCTTCTCATATTTGTGTTGCGTTAGACTTTTCTATTTCAGAATTGATGATTATTTTTTCAGGATATAATGAATTCGAGTGTGACTAGATTATCATTAATATTTTTTATTAATGGTATAAAGAAAAAAATGTATGAAACTAACTAAAATGATCTTCTATAGCAACTTCAGCCAACACAATCAACATTTTATTGCACAATTCAATGCCCGAAATCAAAATTTTCATGTTTAGTGAGAAAGTTGACAGATAAGTCAAAAACAAGAAAGTTAGGAGAAGTAATTTCCTGCTAGAGTGTTTTCTTAACATCCATGCTTTCTTTATCCTTATTTGAAGGTTTCGTAACCTCCATGCATGGAGAAAGACTCGATGATTTTTTTAAATTGGATTTGGAAATCCGAGGGTTAGAGGTGAGATTGTGTTGGATTGAGTTGTTCTATTATTTGGGAGTGTTTGGAACTGATTCTGCTTCTGATTCTTTTTTGAAGCAGAAACATAATCAGAATGTACCTCCAGCTTCTAAAAAACTGATTCTAGGAGTAATTAGAGCACCAGAATCACTTCTGCATTTTCACCCAAACACTCCAACTTCTATTTCTGCTCCTTGAAGGAGCAAAATCAGTTTTAAGAATCAGATCCAAACACCCCACCACAGTATAGAAATCCATTAAAATCTTTTAAAATCCATGAAAGTAGATGGTTAGTAAAATCCATAAAATGTTTGACATACCTAGATTTTGAAAAACTCAATGGAAATCCATAATTCTAAACTCCATTGAAATCTTTTAAAATGGATCACACACTCGCGCTTCTTTATGATCCAGAGTTCAATATTCAAACTTAGTAAGTTTGATCTCAATTTATACGAGACGCTCTGTTGGGGTAAAAAATGATAGAGGATCTTCCTACTACGTACTCCGTATTTCATTTCAATGGTGGAGAGTACTCCGAAACTTTACAATTTCAGCCCAGTTTTTCAAAGCTTTTCACCCTCCAACTAAATAATCAGTGATCTCATCTCCGAACTCTTCTTCTTCCTTTCAACTTGGGTGCCCAAATGGAAATATATGCCGGCGCGCTTGGATCTTGCACATCAAATCCTGCGCTTATTACGTCGCGCGACGTCGCGCATTCTATTCATGCTAACCCGCCCTTCATCGCTGCCAGCAGACGTCGCAAGCAGTTGCCGTCTTGGTCTTCAAACCTTTTTACTCCCCGTAACTCTGCAAGGACATTCACGCCTACTCCTTCCCCGGGCCATCGTGTCATGTTTCCTCGAAGGGCTGCTGCTGCTGCTTCTGTATGAAGTTCTACTTCCCAATTTCGTTGTTCAATTTCTCTCTTCTTATTTAGAATGAAAAGCTGTAATTAGTCATTTAATTTCTCTAAGCCGTAACTCTGAGTTCCTGGGAAACTAATTTAGTTATCGATAGCGGTGCCTAGAAGAATGAAATGAAAAGATTATTAATTGTTGTGACTATTTCCTCATTGAATTGTGTTTGGACTTTATGGTCGAAGAGAACTCGTAGTTGCTGCAATTGGTATCAGAAATCTGAATGTGAGGATTGTCTGAGCTGTTTTTTATTGAGGCTGCATTTTTTCTGGTTGGCTAGATATATTATACAATTTATATTTAGTAATACAAATTTCCTTATCATATTGTGATTTCTTTTCCTATGTCGATTCAATAATACAGATTCTACAATGCAGGATACTACTGACAATAGGTTTGATGATTTGATTGAGAAATATGGGCAGCTGGTATTTAGAAGAAATGACAACAAAACTGCAAGTGAGGATGCTGAGGATGATGCTCAAAGTCTATTGTGTAAGCTTCTCACATTCTACAACTTTTTATTTATTGCAATTCCATTCTGTTCTTTTGAATTGAAAGTTTTGTTGGCAAATATCTTACCATATTGACTTCTTCTCCCATGTACTTTGTACATTCCTTGAGAGGGCTAGTAATTGATATTTTATGTGTCATTTGCTCAGTTGCTGTAGCAGTAGCTAATGTCGCGAATGAGGTGAAGGCTGCTGACATAAAAGTTCTTTTTGTGAAGCCCTTGGTTTATTGGACTCGGTTTTTCATCATTGCCACTGCTATGTCTCGTCCACAAATTGATGCCATTGCGTAAAAACTGCACCTGTATTTAGCATCTGTTTCAGCACAGTTTATTTAATAACCAACCACATTGACAGACTTTGACCCGGTGGAGTATCTTAAGGTGTTGAGTGTATTCTTTTGTGTGTAGGACCAAAATAAGAGATTTGGGTGAGAAGCAGTTCGGAAGAGTTGCATCAGGAGATTTAAAACCAAATTCATGGACTTTGCTGGACTTCGGTTTGTAACTCAAATTATCCCTTTCAACACCAAATTCATCATTCATTAAGCATCTATACTTGCCTATAAACGAATATAATTGATAGTGGTAAGTGGTCACACTTGCTTGACACAGTCTCATACCGGTTGGTCCCACAATAGCTATCACTTTTGAGGTTAGGTCAGAACGAAATACTTCCAGGCTAAATATCACTACGACCTCCGTCTCACTAAAAATTTCCATATTTGACATTTTTGGTCAAAGATATACTCCTTTCGTCCATAAAACTTGGACAAGTTTGTGTTAGCACGTGGAATAACAAAGTAAAAGCTATATGGTTGAAATTTGTGCAGAAGAGTGAGAAATGACTTTAACCACACATTTATTACTTTAGATGAAAGTGACAAAGTCTTATGAGACAGAGGGAGTATATTTTTATAAAAATGATTTATAATACTACGTATGAAGTAATGTAACAACTTTCTTTCTTAAAAATTCTATCATAAAGGCACAAAGTTTATAATCTTCACCAAAATATATTGATTAAAAACATTGATCAAATTTTAGCACATTTGATAAAAAAGTCGAATATGGCAAATGATTGTAGGACAGAGGTAGTATAACTTATCGAAATGCTTTGTTTTCCACTGAATTTGAAAAGTGTGTTTGAACCAAAAAGTGTTGGTTTTGACTTCAAAAGTGTGATAGGTGTCACAGAGTGAGCGCCCTTGAGACTTGCTCACAAATTCTAAGTCACTCCACACCTTTATATTGGACTACTTGTATAATAAGATTGACCTTCTAGGATGAAATAACAAGTTTTAATATGATGTTGAAGCTAAGCTCCAATGAGTAATTGAAACTTGATAAACCTCAGCAATGACCACATTGATTTGGTCTGCTAAGAGCATCCGCAATGCGGACTGTTTAGTCCAAAAAGAAATACGCCAGCTCATATAAATAGACACTGTGCGGTTTATTTCATTCCTCATGGTCAATTCACTCCACATCTATTACGTAGGTTAGAAACCCTTTTCATCATTTGACATTTGGCATTATTAATAGAGACTAGATATCCTAGCATTGTGGATGCTCTAAGAAAAACTTAACATTAAAGTAATTTTGTAAAACTGATTGCGTAAGAGTTTCTACATAATAATTGCATACTGTGCAAAAGGAGTTCATTCTTTCTGATGTACAGTCTATTAATTCATTGCAGGTGACATTGTGGTACATATATTTCTGCCTGAACAACGCCAGTTATATAACCTTGAAAAGTTTTATGGCAATGCAACACCCATTGATCTGCCATTTGAAAACCAACAATTTCAGCGTTCACAATATTTGAGAAATTCGAGCCCTCTCGAATAATTAATAGATCATCATAGGGCCGTATAAAGAAGATGCTCAAGAGACTCCAAGGAAGCACTAAACATTAGTGAGCTCTCATGACTTTATAGGCTGACTATCACTGATGGTGTAAATGACAGTTTCATGAGCTTTAGTGAATTATTATGCCTCAAGGACCGATGCCTAATATTGTAGTCTGGTTTTTAATGCATTAGCATGTATTTACATCAGTTAGCTGTGTTTTAGACTTTAGTTTGATGTTTTACTTTTGTGTGTTGTTGTAATTCTAATTTGTTTAATACTTCGTACGGAGTATAAAATAATTTTGACCGTTATTTTATTTACACTTTTTGTTTGACACAAATACACAGTTATTAATGGCTTGTTCAATTAATAAACTTGTCTTGGAGCGAGCTCGACTATTGGACTTTGGCTAGAAAATAAATAAATTGTCCTCAATAGCCCGTTTGGTAACCATGTTTTTGGGTTATCCGGCCTTGTTATCAATTTTTTTCACCAAGAGCAGAAGTCGTCTAGAGTTAGGGGTGGACTCGGGCCGGGCCAACCGGCCCGGAACCGGACCGGCCCGCCACTGTGCGGGCCCGGACCGGCCCGGGAACCGGTTCGTTGGGCGGTTCGGGCCACCCGGCCTGGTGGATTCTCGGTTCGGGCTCGGGCCCTTCAAAAGGTGAACCGGCCCGGGCCAATTTTAATTTTTTTTTGAATTTTTTTTGAGTTTTTGGGTTGGGCTGGTTATTTTGGGCCATTTGAGGTGGTTAGGGTTGGTTTGGGGGTGAGGGGGAGGGGTGGGGGTTAACTAGGAAAAGCCCCCCAAAAACAAAAATACCCGAGGCCCAGCCCGGCCCGGACCCGGGGTTTACCCGGGCCGGTTCCGGGCCTCCCCTTCTTGAACCGAGGCCCGGCCGGGCCCAGGCCCGAACCGGCCCGAGTCCACTCCTATCTAGAGTACGATCGCCTTAATGATTTGGTATTTGTTAAGTACAATAAGAATTTGAGATGTCGTTGGAAATGTGTGAATCTATAGTTCCTATTTGATTGGTATACACAGACATGACAAATGAATGGTTGACCAGTGTAGTTGATGATGCAAATGGAGAGTTGGTCTTTGATGGTGGAGATAATTTGATCTGAAGAGATGTTGCGAAGTTTTCTGGTGTAAATGATACATTACATCCTCTTAGACGCAATTCTAAATGGAAAGATAAAGTCGAAAGTTCAAGTTCAAGAGAAAAAAAAGGCCTCAATCTATAGACTTGTTGACAAAGATGAGGACAAATTAAAATGAGGAAGACATTAGACTCTATAATGATGATAGTAAGGACTTTGATACATTAGTTATGGAAGATGAAGGTCACTTTGATGAGGAGGAGGAGGAAGAAATGATGGAGTGATGAAGATTCTTAGAACAGTTTAAAATGGAAGAAACATTGTGTGATGAATGTTTTTATCTTTATGCCGCACTAGTAGTCTAGTATTACTCTTATGACTTTTATGATTAGTTATGTGTTTGTGCAGAATTGTGTGATGAATGCGTTCTCACTTTATGCCGCATTAGTATTGTTCTTAATGACTTTTATGACTATTTATGCATTTTTGGCATAATAATACATTATATATTTGATTTTTTTATAAGCATCGCTTTTTGTGAGAAAGCTACGCTTCATTTGGCGCTTTCGCTTCTTAGAAAAGCTGAAACTTGACGCTTTTGGCGCTTTCGCTTTTTAGCAAAGCTTAAATTTGATGCTTTTGACACTTTTCGATTTAAAAAAGTTCCACCCTAAGAGAGACAAAAGAAGATACTAATGAAGTGAGACGTTTTTTTTTACCCGCACGGGTAGCTCAGTTGGTTCAGTGGTGGGAAATTTGGACCAAGTGACCAAGCTTCGAAACTCGCAGCGGCCATGTGGAGGTCACAGAACCTGAAATAAGGTTGGGCCTCTGGTGCGCACGGGAAAAAGGTCTACCATCATTGGGCCGACTGAGTCACCGTGATTAACATCCTCCCAAAAATCTTGTTGGGTCGGGGTATGGGGGGCTCCTGGGATGGGAGATTCCACCTTTTTTGGACCAAATGAAGTGAGACGGAGAATAAAAGGGATATGTGAGGCCAGTGAGGGGTAGGCAAAAAGGAGCAAAGAAAAAAAGAACAAGAATAAATGCACTAGAGAGTTTTTCATTTTTCAACAATCCAACTATCTTCCCGCACCGGAAATCTAAGATGTTTGATAACTTTATAAATTAATACTACAATCTTAAACAATAAAATGATTAACTTGAATGGAGTATCATGTGGTAATAATATTTAAATTTAATATTACAATCTAATTCGATAATTTTCTGCTCTAGTTGCTTCATATCAAATTATTCAAAATATTTTGAATAATTTAAGATGAGACAACTGGAGCATGAAATTACCAAAATAAGATTGTAGTATTAAATTGTACTTCCACTCTTCATTTTAGTTCACTTTTATATACTCAAAATATGATAAGATGTAAATCACTACAAGAAATCATACATTTTGTGACAAAAAATGGAATACAATGGGGAGGTCTATTCAGATATTGAGATAGTTAAACATGTTATTGATCGTATGGATGAAAACCATTGCTATCATGATGTTAAGGAACTCTCAATTTCAGATGCTTTAGTACACGCTGTTTAGTATATATTCTAGGTGTATGGTTGATACTTTGGGCACATCTCATACAACTTCCTCAATTGATTCTTCTCATATTTGTGTTGCGTTAGATTTTTCTATTTCATAATTGATGTTTATTTTTCCAGGATATAATGAATTCGAGCGTGACTAGTTTGTCATCCATTCTTTCTAAAGAATATGAACGTATCATTGCACACCTTTAGGAGAGCAGATAGGTGAGTAACGATCAAATCATTTCACAAAAGCATGAGCTTGTTTCTGATCTAAAGGGTGCTGATAAGAGGGGGCTGAGGTTAAATCTGTATTTGGAGCAGCTTGAGCCCATAATCTATACATAAACATTCAAATATAACCCCGTAAACGTACACTGTAAATATAGCTCAAGTTTATGGCACTTAGGCAAATTATACCGTGCAATCGGCGCACCATGAGGATGGTGCGCCCGAATGCAAAACGACACAACATGCCTGTTTTTTTTTATTTTGTTGTTAAAAAATGATAATAACGTTTTTTATTTTTGATCCGATTTTTATAAAATTTATATCAACATTTTTTATTTTTCATGATCTTTCAAACGAGACCAATATTGCTTATGTAATTTTAAGAAATTATCGAACTATTATATTAATGAGTATTGGATTATAAGGAAAATCGAATCTGTTTGGGAGATGATAGGTTTGTGAAATAGAAGATCGAATCTGTTTGGGAGTGGATCAGTGGCCTCAGTTACATTTGATAATACATTGAGTTACATCTTTTTATGAGCGAGTTACATCTTTTTATAAGCAAGTTACATCTTTTTATAAGCAAGTTACATCTTTTTATAAGCGAGTTACATATATATATATACACACACGAGTTGCATTTGACATGCCTGAACGCGACTTACATGTATTTACACGTAAAGTTACATATTTATACACGCGAGTTACATATTTATACACACGAGTTGCATTTGACCTGTCTGAACGCGAGTTACATATTTTTTTACGTAAAGAAACATATTATTACACGTAGAGATACATATTTATACACACAAGTTGCATTTGGCCTGACTGAACGTGAGTTACATATTTTAACACGTAAAGTTACATATTTTACACGCAAATGTTCATATGTTAAAATTACATAGGCAATATTGGTCTCATTTGAAAGATCATGAAAAATAAAAAATGTTGATATAAATTTTATAAAAATCGAATCAAAAATAAAAAAGTTATTACCATTTTTAAAAAAAGAGAAAATAATATCCAATGGGTGCATGTTGCTCACCATGCACCCGTTGCACGGTATACGCAATGTGGCACTTAGGCTAACCATAACTCGTTGCGTCAATAAATCCGATTCCCCATCAGTTTATACATATTCACTTATTCAATCCATTTTTTTCTTGTGATACAACGCTATCAATATATTCACCCAACAAAGTTTTTTTTGAATTAAATCATCACTTTTATTATTATACATCAATTTTGCCAAATTCTGTTTGTGAATAATATTGATTTAAAAAGTTGCACATTCCAACGTAAAAATATATGATTTTAGAGTTTAATTTGTTGTTGTTATTTCAGATCTATTTTCAAAAAATAACTGAGAGACGTAAAAAGATTTGGGAAAAGTACCAAATCGGCCCTCAAGCTAATACCAATTGTTCAAATCACCCCCTAAATTAAAAAAAAATCTCCAACCAAATCTTTCAAGTCAAGTGCAAATCACTTTCAATTTAAAAAAATTGCAATCAAATTCTCCAACTCGGCGATATAGCGCAAATAGCTTTCTGAACTTGTAATTTAAAAGCTAAAACTGATGTAATAGCTTTCATTAGTTTGAGAGCTAATTTGGTACATTTCCCTTTTTTCTTTTGTATATGGAAGATTTAAAATATTATATGTGTAATATTAGCATCATATGAAAGATAAAAAAATGCCCTTTTTCCATGAATATTACTAAATTAGATTCAAAAGGTACGTAAAAATATGACTTATTTAAAATTTTCAAACAAGCGATATATTGAGGGACTCATCATCTATCGGTGACTTATCACTTTGAAATAGACTAATCATATTTTTTCCAAAAAACATAGCTAATCATATTTTTATCTGTGAAAATTTTGTTACTAATACACATATCCTTTTTTCAAATAAAAATTATAAATCTTGATATATTTTTTATAAAAAATCGGAGCACAAATAAAAATGTTATACTCCATAACACTTAAAAATGTCCCTGCCACTTGTGCAGTACTGTACCTTTTTTCCCCACACGAACCCCTTCCCCACAAGAACCTCTTCATTTCTCCTTTGATAGGGTGAATAAAGGGTATTTTCGATAGACATAACAATTTCGAGAGACCCGTTGGATACCTGTACCGAACCGATTTGGTTAAACTGGGGAAAACCGGTTTGACTGAGGAACATGTATGAGGTGGGGAATATCTGGTTTGTTTAAATGGATAATGGTGCGGTTATGGTTCTATACTAATCCACCCCGTTATCCGCCCCGAAACCGTCCCGTTCACTAATGGTGCGAGTATCCGCACCGTTACACGATCCGTAACATTATTAATAAATTATAACTTTTTATATATAAGAATAATAAGTATATATGCTAAATTGTGTACACTAAATCATAGATCTCATATAAGTATATAAAGAATAATACACCAAAGACCTATTCAAAAACTCTAACATCCCTAACTCAGTGTATTACGGATTTATGGC